TTTCTCGTGTTCGTCCTCGTCGTCCTCTTTGGCGTCGTGGTCGTTTCCGTCGTCGTTGTCGCCGTGGTCGTCCTTCCTTCTCCTCCCACGTCGTCGTCGTCGTCCGTCGTCGGCGTCTCGTCGTCGTCCCTCCTATTCCGTTGCCGTCGTCGTCGTCGTTGTCGTCGTCGTCTTCCCTCCTCCCTCGTCGTTGTCGTCGTCGGCGTCGCCGTCCTTCCTCCTTCGTCGTCGTTCGCGTCGTCGCCGTCCTCCCTCCTCCCTCGTCGTTAGCGTCGTTGTCGTCGTTGTCGCCGTCGTCGTCCTTCCTCCTCCATCGTCGTCGCGTTCGTTGGGGTCGTCGTCGTCGTCTTCGTCGTCGTCGGCGTCGGCGTCGTTGTCGTCGTCGAAGTCGTCGGAGACGTCGTCGGTGTCGTCCTAGTTGTCGTCGGTGTCGTCGAAGTCGGTATTAAGAGGTTTTGCAAACCAAGTTGCGGGTGGGTGGGTGGGATGTTTGCGCGAGCAGTGGAGATGACGACTTCAAGTTCAGCAGAGTGGATTGCAACACATAGGTTGCACAGCAATTATTTCATCACACGCATTTCTTAGTTGCTAAACGGGTAGTAGGGTCGATCCCTCCCTCGGGATTTAAACGCTCACCATTTCGTATTGAAATTTACAAGTGGTTCTGCCCCATCGTCCATCCGAAACATGCACTCGTATCCCCCCAGCCAGGCCGCTAACGCCCCCCCCTCATCCTCTGCAACAGATACAGTGCGCGCGCACTCGTTTATTGAAAAATCGCTGTTTTCGAGAATCCTTTTACAAGAGGGCGCGACGATGTGCACACGCGCGGGTCATCGCGCGCGCATGCTGGAATCCTTCAAAACCATCGCGCGCATGCAGGAATCCTTCAACAACCAATGATTTGGCAAGAATAGTCGAGTGTCCCGAAAACATATAAACACATTTGGCCCCGCAACAAGAATTGACAAGACAAAGTGTGCGCTCGCGCTATTCCGAATTCTTACGAATACAAGTTGTCTTTCAACATTATCCTAAAACGCTACTCAATGGGCCTCTCGCGCGCGTTTGCCGAAGTCCCTTGCGCGCATGCTGTCGCAAGAATGAGTTGCAACAGTGGGGCGAGGTTCACACGTTCGCGCCGTTGTGTTGTGCGCGCATGCCCAAATCCTTCAGGAACCTCCTAAGGATTTCGTAATCGAGTGCCCCGAAAGCATATGAACACATGCGGTTTCGCAAGAAGGATGTTCAAACAAGACTGTGCTCGCGCTCTTGCAGATGCTGAAGAAAACCATCGGTTGAACAACGTGCTCATCAAAGTCTGCCAAGCGGGCCTTTCGCGCCGCATGTCGACATCATTGAAAGAGCGTGTTCTACCGCTGCTGGCGGAGAACCGGGGGGGTCACTACCGGTTCGAACCCCTCCCCCCCCTCCCCCCCCTCCGGAAACCCCGGGGGGGGTCACTACCGGTTCGAACCCCTCCCCCCCCCCCAGTTCATCATGAAAAGGGGAGGGGGTCACTACCAGTTCGAACCCCCCCCCCCCCTCGAACTCGAAAACCGGGGGGGGTCACTACCGGTTCGAACCCCCCCCCCCCCCTCGAAAACCGAGGGGGGGTGCGGACAGTGGTGGGGACGGTGGTGGTGGGGACAGTGGTGAGGGGACAGCGGGACAGTGGTGGGGACAGTGGGACAGTGGTGGGGACGGTAGTGGTGGGGACAATGGTGAGAACAATGGTGGGAACAGTGGGGACAGTGGGACAGTGGTGGGGACGGTGGTGGTGGGGACAGTGGTGTGGGGACAGTGGGGATGTGGTGGAAACAGTAGGACAGTGGAGGGTACAGTGGTGGTGGGGACAGTGGTGAAGGCGGTGGCGAGGACGGCGGTGGGACAATGGGACAGAGGTACAGTGGGGACAGTGGTGGGGACACTGGGGACAGTGGTGGGAGCAAGGGACAGCTCAGTGGTTCGAACCGGTAGTGGCCCCCTCCTCCGGTTTTCGAGGGGGGAGGGGGGGGGGTTCGAACCGGTAGTGACCCCCCCCGGTTTTCGAGTTCGAGGGGGGGGGGGGAGGCGTTAGGGGAGGGGGGGGTTTTGCCAGGGGAAGGGGGGGGGGGGGAGGGGTTCCAGCAGGGGGGGGGTGATTTTCGGAGGGGGGGGGGAACCCCGGGCTCCGGAGGAAAAGGGCGGCAATTTTCCACAGTAAAGCGGCGGTGGATCACGCTCTCTCACATCATTCGAACGCCCTTGCGCGCGTGCTGGGCTGCACTATCCGTGTCAAAACATACTATGCGGGCCACTCGCGTATCGGCCGCGCGCGCATGCCGACCTCCTTACAAAATGTCCATCACCGACGCGAGGACGCCGTCATCGTCGTCGGCGTGATCAACATCGGCGCCGTCATTGGCCGTGCTGTCGCCGTTGTCATCATCGTCACCAGCGTCACTGCTACCATCATCGTGTCTACCGTTGCTAGGATACCGCGCCCTGCCACGTGGCAGGCTCGCACTAAAATGCCCGCTGGGTAGTGCCCAGAGGTCAGCGCCACCTCGGCCGCGCCGGTCGCGCCAAAGTAGCTGGCCTTTGCGGCGCGCGCCAGCATGCGCGGGCTAGCGCGGCCGCAAAGATGCACCAGTCAACACCAAGCACTCATCGCAGTCGCCGCCGCATGTGTTTTGCAAAACAAGTTGTGGGTGGGTGGATGGGTGATGGCGCGAGCAGTGGAGCTGACATCTGCGATTTCTACAACTGAATTGCACCACGTAGATAGTGCCACATATTTCGTCCCACATGGATGGCAGCACATAAGTTGCACGAAGTTGTGTTCGCGCCTGCGGCGTGCGTTTCGATACTTCGCTGCATAGCGTACCACATATATAGCACAACATATATAGCACAACGCGCGTTGCACCATGTATATTGCAGTACATATGTTGCACCGCATAGATAACACCACCTTGATTTTACAACTGTGAGCCACGCTGGCTAGCACATGAATGTACACGCATGAGACATCGATCACGAGACGCCCTGGTTCCTTTATAGGGAGGGGTTCCTCCAGACATGTACGCAGTTATGCAGCTAGAGAGCGGTGGGTAGAGAGAGAGAGAGAGAGAGACAGAGCGAGAGAGAAAAAAGGAGAGAGAAAAAGAGAGAGAGAGAGAGAAGGGACACTATAAAACAACGACAACAAAGAGAGAAACTGAGAGAGAGAGATAACAATAAAAGACAAGACAGCACATCACACGAAAGGAACACTTGCCTTCCACCACCCGCTGCGTCTCACGGGAGCATGTTGGCGCACACTGCGCTGTCGCCCTCGCGTTCGCTCGCTTGGCTGCCGCCGCACCCCACCCAGCCGTCCGCCCTTTTGTGCCCGACGGCCCCCCCGCCCGCGTGTCCGTTCGACCCTGCGCGCCTGCGGCTGGCCGTTCGTCCACAATCATGGCTCATAAGACCCTCGGTCCCGCGGCCGCTCCCCTCCTCCCCCCTTTGTTCCTTCGTGCATCCGGTCAATCCGTAACCCGGCTTGCCGAGGCGCCCGTGCGGAGTGCCTCTGGCGCGCTGCGACGCTGACAGGGTTTTTGTGCGTGCGAGCCCGTTTGTGTTTACATATGTTTGTGCGTGAGAGCATGTTTGTGCGCCTGTGTACGCAGGGTTTGGCAAGGAGGACGGCCTGTCTCCTTTGTATGAGTTGAAGCATGCCTTGTTCAGATTTGGCACAACCGCAGGGCTGCTCCGAGGAAAAGAAGCCAATTCCGTATGCAATACGTATCTGCAGAATCAACCGGCAAATGCTAATGATGTTCGGGGTGAGGGTCTGGTTTATAATGGTTCGCGCTCGCAAACCACGACACAGCATAGGGCCAACCACGGGACAACCACTGGACACCCACGGGACATTAGTTGACACAACCATTGCGACAACCGCGGGACACCTACAAGACAACCGCGGCATATTTTTGAGGCAACCATCGGAACAACCAAGGGGGACACCATCGGGACCATCATCCGGCCACCCATCTGGGTAATGATCGGTTCAACCATCGAGACAACCATCAGGGCAACCATTGGGACAACCATTGGGACAACCATCGAGACAAGCAACCGTGGGACAACTATCGAGACAAGCATCGGAACACCAGCCGGGGCGACTAGCTGGGCAACCATACGCGCAAGCATCAGGACAACTACCAGGATAGGCATCGGCACAACAATCGGAACAATCATTGAAGCAACATAAGGGGCAACCGCAGGACATGTGTTGGGACAACAATCGGGACAACCATCGGGACAACCATCGGGGCAACCCTCTGGACAACCTTTGTGACAGCCAATGGGGCAGCCATCGGGACGCACATCTTGGTAACACTCGGGGTAACCGTCGGAAAAACAATCGGGACAGTAGTCGGGCCAATGACAGGGACGACCATTGCGACAAGCATTGGGAACGCCACAGGACAATCATCGGGACCACCATCAGGGAAACCAGTGGGAACACCAGAGTGACGACGAGCATGTAAGCCATCGAGACAACCAATTTGGACAACTATCGGGAAGACCACGGGACAACCACCCATCGGGGCAGCCATCTGGACAGCGAGGGGGACAACGATCGGGACAGTCATCGGGACATTTATGGGGACAACACGGGGTTATCCATTGAACAACGTCGCGACAAGGACGGTACAACGATGGGACAGCCACGGGACAACCACGAAACAGCCACAGGATACCCACGCGACAGCCACTGGACAACCGTTGGACAACCGTGGCGCAGTTCCAGGTTCGCCCAAGGTTCAATCCAAAGGGCGTCCTTCGGGCACGCCCTGGATAACCACGCGACTCTGTTGGGCCCGACCCGGGCCAGGCTGGCGCAGGGACTCGCGCAGTTTCAACTTGCCCACCGCGCACGGCACAGAGCGAAACCGAGGCCGATGTCCCAGTTAGGCAACTCCGTGGCACTTCGGCCGTACCCCCCAACCGCCATTTCAATACGCAGCCATTTCGGTTCAAGCTGTCTTACAAGCATGTCTGGCCAAGCAGTACCGTTTCGCGATGGGGACATCGTCCAGGCAGTTCAAACGATCCGGACCCTTAGCGGTGCCAACGACGAGATCTGGGAGGTTACAGTCGCGCCTGGCACATGGGGATGCGTTAAAGAGAACAGAGGCATGACCCAATATGCCCAGGGCCAGAGAGTGAATCAGGCACCATCATTGCATATGATTTTCGACAGCGGACATGGAAGGCCAAACTCGTTGGTGCCAACAACGTTCAGGTTTGATGCGTCAAGTGTTGAGAAACACCCGGACATGGACTCCGAAGAACACAGGATTGATGTGACCAGCGGAAAAAGTTTCACATTGCGGGATCTAGGCCTGCGCGCAAGCACACACAATTACCAGATGTTCATGCGCCCGATCCCTCAAGAACGCAACCGCCAGGGGCTCAAGATAACTTGCTTCCGGCAGTTATTGTCTTATTGGCTTGGTTCTTCTTAATAGGCGCCCTGGGCGTGTTTTACTGTTTTGCAGTCTGCGCTCTTGACAAGTTAAAACGCTATGTTAGAACAATGCGACTGTGTTTTCGCGTTTCAGTTCTGGTGTTGAGCGTTTTTAGACCCGATGTTGTGGACCATCAGTTGTTTCAGCGTTGTTTGTTTTCTGGTCGAAGGAGGTTAATTGTCTTCCCTGCTGTCTTCTCTCCCGCTCGTTTCTGCCGTCGGTTTCCCTCCCAGAGCTAAAAACGTTCAAACCACGTCCTGACACCTGTCCAACACCGGCACGAAACAGGCCTGGAGGCCCGATGGCCCCAGGAGGAGCAATCGGCCATCGGTCCCGCCAGACTGCGCGCAAGGAGGAGGACTGCACGCCAGGAGAAGGAACTGAGGACGTCGTGGATGGCAATGTTACCCATACAACCGCTTGATCTGAAAGCGCTAAAAAAGCGCAGCTGAAAACGCAATCTAACTGTTTTTGTTAGCGTTTCAGTTTTCTTTTTGGGACCTAAAAACATTAAATCAATATTTCCAACACGCCGAGTTACCAACGGTAAAAATAGGCCCTGGCAGTATTTCAGAAGAACCAAGATATTGGGACTCGCTCCAGCGCCAAGTTCCTCGCCCAGATGCTCATGTGTCGACACTGGCCACTGCAATGTCGCTACCTGCAACTAGCGGGGAATGCTTCCTGGGGTACACATTGTTTCGGGCGAGTCCCTATGGCTTCGTTACAGCAGGCCGACTGGCACAAGGCTCTGAAATCATTGCGTCGAGTGGACAGACCATCCGTGTGAAGGAGGTGAGCATCACACCTTTAGCAGAGCAGGATCTTGTGGAGCTCAGCACGATATCTGCTGGACTAAAGGTCAGCAAGTGTCACCGAGTCATGGTGCAGCGCGGTTCATCCCCGCAAACCATACCTGCAGGTAATCTGCGCTTCGGTGACCCGGTGTACATCAGCGGTGACAAAGTGGAGAAGTTGATCGATGTGCGGAATGTGCTTGAATGGGTTGAGCTCGTTTCAGTCACATTCGAACCTGACGAGACAGTGGAAGCATTCCACCCGGCTCCGGCTTCAATTTTGAGCAAGGGGCATGGATTTCCCAAAACGTCTCGTCGAAGCACACGCCGTAGCACACGTCGAGGCACGAGTGCAGACGTTCGGTCGTCCATTCCCGATACAGACGATGGCTGGCAGGACTGAAGCACAATTAGGACAGGTTTGTTTGTAAAGGTCCTTTTGAGCACAGCTACGGCTTGTTGCCAATTGAGCCTGCGCAACCTTAGCTTCAGAATGCATGCCTTGTCTTATTGGGGCTAGTTCTAGATTTTGGGCAGAAGATCAAGTAAAGGATGGAGGATGTCAGTTGCTAGGACGGATAGCACAACACCGAACATTAATGAACATTGTCTTGTAGCATAGACAAGCGCATGTGCTGCCACAGAAACCACATGGTCAATTAGGCGTGTTTTTCGAGTCTTTTGAATCCGCATGTGCACAAGGATTGTTGCATGCCTTGGTGCCCTCATTGCGAGCTTGTTTGCGCTCGTATGCCTGCTTGCGTTCAGTTTGTGTGCACGTCTACGGATTGTTGCCACAGCGAATGTTTGTAGTGTTTCTGATGCGGCGGCGCTTCCCTGACCAGTATCGCAAGTCTAGGTAGCGAATTTCGTAAGCTTAGGCCGCTTAACCCACGCATCTAACGAGGGAGGTCCGCGAATCCCGCCTGACCCCCGGTGATGGCACAAATATTCGATGATAAATCACTGAAGTTCCCGCTCGTTTTGGATCGACTGCGCATTGGCGACCCAGTAGTTCCAAAGCATCTTTCAAATGGCGCCCACCAGCGACCAATGTTGCCCAACAGCGCCATGTGTGCGGGGGGATGCATTACAGTCAACCCGCATAGCAAGGATGGGCAACCTTCCCACGGGTACCCTTGCATCCTTGCCTCCTCGGTCCATCCTTGGCCTGTTTCGTTGGCCGCGTTGTGCTCGGAAAGCTTCGAAATGGCCCTCCAAGGCCCTTGCATCTTTATCCCGCATCCTAACTATACGGGTTGACTGTATGCCTGATTTGCGCACGATGGGGCGCTCTACTGGGCGCCACGGAGAGACAGCCAGAAGCTTATGTGAGCTGCTTCTGATGGTGACCGCGCGACGCTCGAGGGGGCCCTTCGCCGCCGCAGCCCGTGGTCGGCTTCGGTCGAGGCCGAAGGGTCCCAAGACGCTCTACGCCTCCAGGATGGGGTCCGGGCAGAGGAGGAGGAGGAGGAGGAGGAGGAGGAGGAGGAGGAGGAGGAGGAGGAGGAGGGAGTAGGAGGAGGATGAGGAGGAGCAGGAGGAGGTGGAGGAGGAGGAGGAGACTATGTTGCAATTCTAGGCTGGCGGGGCCTTCTTGGGGGCCCGACCCAGAGAATGACCACTGCCGCTGCACCTCCTGGCGGCCCCGCCTGAGGCTTCCTTCGGCCCCTCTCGGGGTATCCTGGGACCTCCCAGGCTGGGCCCCGACCCAACCCAGAAGTGTGCAGCGACCGTTGCCGGGGCCTCCTTCATATCCCATTGTCAGCCTCTCATGGGGCCCTCCTGCGCCCTCCCGGGCCTGCCTGTCTGGCCCAGGGGTGTGCAGCGCCCGTTGCACCTCCTGGCGACCTCCCTGAGGCCTCTCTCGGGGCCCTCTCGGGCCCTCTTGCGGCCCCCGCCGGGCCCTCTTGTGGGCCCTCCCACCCAGCCTAGAGGTGTGCAACGGCCGTTGCATATCCAAGCGGCCCGATCGTCCTCTTCAATGCCCTGTTTCCCTTCGTCCCCGTCCTCCTTTTCCTTCTCCCCCTCTTCTCATTTGCACTATGTTCCTGCTCCTGCTCCTCAGTCTCTGTGCCGTGCGCTGAACCTGAAGAACAGGTTGAGCGCAAGGAGGCAACTATTGTTCTTGCCGTTGCTAGTTTTGATTCGCGAAGCGTGGCTAAGCTCAGCCAAGCTGTATCGGCTGCTTTGCGATTGGGTGCCAGTTGTTAGTTCACCGTGTCTGGCTAGACTTGGTGAAGTAATTGAGCTACTGGGCAATGGAACGTGGTTGGTTAGACGTGTACCGCTAGACCTTGTTGGTTGAGTTCGGGGAGTTGAGCGTGTGTAGTCGTTTGTTGTTCCAAGTCAAATGTACGTTGTTACTCGGACGTGTTTTTCGACTTGGTTTGGACAAGGCATGGCGATCACACCTGGCAATCTAGACTTGGCGAGCCCGATGTTGTAGTTCCGTTCCTACATAAATATGTTAGGAAGCGTATTTTAGGCCCCGCTAAGCCTAGTTGAGCTTGTAGGCTTAATCGTAGGATCGGTTAGTTTTGCTTGCGTATATCATTTTGGTAAACGCATTGGGCACAACGGCATCAATATACGGGGAAGCGTCAGTAGGGTTTAAGGCACGACTCGGGGCTGGCTGGGCGAAGTTCTCCAGCTTAGCAGAACTACTTACCAATCAGAATGCATCGACGTGAAAACATGTGCAGCGATTCGACTCCACAGGGCCCAACACGATTCTCAATGTTTCGCGTATCCCTAGCAGCCCATCCAGACGCTGTGCACCAATTGCACCTGTTTGGGCCAGGGGACCCTTGGATTGTTCCTTGGGTGTCGCGGGTGTCTCTTGAGGGCCTGTTTGAGGCTCTCGCGTGCGTCGGGGGGGCCTCTTGCCAGCTCTTAGAGGGACTCTTGGGGCGTGTTGGGTGCCTCGTGTGCAGCTCTTTGGGCCTGCTGGGGGCCGTTTGGGCGCCTCTTCGAAGCCTCTTTGATGCTTCTTGGGGGCCTATCGGGGCCCTGCTGGGGCTCTCTTTTGTTTTTGTTCGAGCAGTTCCGGGGCCATCTTGGAGGCCAGCGTGTTAAAAGGGGGAGGCGTGGAATTGCTTCGCCCTTCCAGAAGGCCCACTTGGGCAAAAACAAATACTCATCACTGGTTGATTCTTTCTCGCTTGGGCAATTTCGGACGCTCTGAGCGCTTGCGGCGCTCCCGTCCAGACTCATGCGGGAGAGGCTCAGGCAGGGGTCACTCTACCCACAAGCCGCAAGCCGCCTCGCTCTTTCCCACCCGCCCTCCCAACACACAGGTAGCACCCCGGCCTCAGCATATTCAATGGTAGCCGTTGGATGGGCAGCCACTTGGGACCACTGCAGACGCCAGCTGCGCGACGTTAATGTTAAGTCGGGCATGTCCCTCTACAGGAGGATGATAAACAGTCTGGGGACGATTGCGGAGGCCTTGCGGCCGGTGCCGCCGACCCTAAGAACGACGAAGATGAAAACGAGGGGGGGGCAGGGGGAGGAGGATGAGTGTGAGGTGGAGGAAGGATGGAGGAGGTGGATGAGGGAGGAGGAGGGGGGAGAAGGATGTGGAGGGGAAGCAAAGAGGAGGAGAAGGAGGCAGAGGAGAGCAGGAGGAGAGGGAGCAGAGGGGGGAGGCGAAGGAGGAGGAGGAGGAGGAAGAGGAGGAGGAGGAGAAGGAAGAGGATGAGGCCAGAGGTTTTCTTGGGACAGCCTGCGGCTCTCTTGAGGCCGTCTTGGGCCGTCCAGGGCTCCTCTTGCGCCGTCTCGAGGCACTCTTGGAGGCCTTCTGGGCGAGCTCTCCTAGGCTGTCTTGGGGCAGTTTGGGGGCCCCTTGAGAGCCTCTTGGGGCCTCTTGGGGCTTCTTCGGGGCCTGTTGGGGGCCTGTTGGGGCTGAGAGCTCGAAATGTCCGTTCGGGTCCCCCGTCTGGGCACTCTCCTGGAGCCGTCTTGGGGGCCTCTTGGGCCGTCGTGGAGGCGTCTTGGGCCGTCTTGGGGCTCTCTTCGGCCGTTAGGGGACCCTCTTCGGGGCCCCTTGGGCCGTCTCGGGGCGATCTTGGGGGCCTCTTGGGCCGTCTTGGCGCGTCGGGAAGCGAAAGAGGCAAGAACGCCAACATTTTTCAAACACGTATGGGGAATCCATGAATTTTGCCTGTTGGGCCTCTCATGGGAAAGCTCCTGGAGGCCTGTTGGGGCGCTTTGCAGGCCTCTTGGGCCGTCTGGATCGTTCGGCGATTCGGTGTTCTCTTGGATTGTCTTTGGGGCCTCTTTGGGCGCTCTCGGCCCGTCTTGGGGCTTTTTTGGGCTCCGGGACTCCCAGGGGGGTCGTCGTATCTGATCCCCCCCCCTGGGACCCCCCCCGGGATCCCACCTGGGGGCCTCCCCTCCCCCCGGCGGGGGAGGGATCGAAGGGAAGGGGCTTCCCCTTGACTCAATTACGACGTTGCTCAACTTTGCTTTGGCTGGCGCGCTGAGGAGGTCCCTGGAAACGGGGGAGCTTCGACGAGCCCAGGGAAAGGGGGGGGCAGGGAAATGGGGACGACAGAGACGACGACCAACGAATGACGGAGCTGACGGCTTGAACGGACAAGCCCCTCACACACGCCGACAGGGTCGGCGGATCTTCTGTTATTGTCGACCACGTGTGCATGTGTTTTGAATATTGGAGAGGCCTGACGGCCGGTGCCGCCGACCCTGATCGAAAGGGCTAGGAGGGGGGGGAGGAATCGGAGGATGAGGAGGAACAGGAGGAGGAGGAGGAGGAGAAGGAGGATTAATTTCTCTATCAAAATCTGCCTGTGGGGGAGGACATGCCCGACCTAACGTCAGCGAGGTGCGCCCCGCGCGCCACGTGGCCCAGGTGCGCCAGGCGCCCCAGGAGCCCGAGCGCGCAAGGCGCGCCTGCTGCGCCAGGGTGCGCCGCGCGCTGCACGTGCAAGGGCGCCCTCGAGGGCGCGAAGTTGTTCGCGCTTCGCGGTTTGGCTCCGATTCATCATCGTCCTCCTCTCCCCTGCGAGGCGGCGCGGGAGCGCGGAGTTATTCGCACTTCGCGCTTCGCGCAGCGCGAGGCGCGAAGTTGGGAACCCGTGCGCACGCGCCAGGTGTTCGTCTGCTCCGCCCGCGCCGGGCGTCAGAGGAGGAAGAGGTACCCATCTGATATCGTCAAAGTTATGAGAGTTAAGGTGGCATTCTGGTAGCCGATCTTAAAAGTTAAGTTGTTCTGACAGATCTTCCATATATTCGGCGGTTGAAGTTGTGGAAGGTACGGAAGATAGGGTTAGGGTTTTTTGAAACGGTTTTTACAGCGGTTGAAGATACGGAAGATAGGTGTTGAAGTGATTGAACTTGTAGAAGATACGTCGAATATACATTTTGATGGCTTAGCCTTTTTTGTAAGAAAAAGCAGTTGCGAACATAGGTTGTCTAGAACTTCTAATTCTTAAAGACAAATTGCGTTATGCCTGCCCCCATCGCGTTGTATCGATTGATGTTTCTCCAGCGGTTTGCGCTGCCAGCGCTTGCGCTGTTCATGTTTTTCATGTTGTTTGGCACTATCCAGCGCTTTGCGCTGCTCCTCCCCCTCCAGCGCTTTGCGCTGCTCCCCCCCCCCGGCGCTTGCGCTGTTGGAGGGAGGAGCAGGAGGAAAGAGGAACAAGACGAGGGAGGAAGGAGAAGGGAGGAGGGAGGAGGGAGGGAGGACGGAGGACGGAGGACGCAGAGGAGTGCGGAGAGAGGAGGACGGAGGGCGGAGGGCGGAGGAGGTTGGAGAGGAGGAGGAGGAGGAGAAGGAGGAGGAGGAGGAGCAGGAGGATAAGGAGGAGGAGAGGAGGAGGAGGAGGGAGGAGGAGGAGGGAGGAGGAGGGAGAAAGGAGGGGAGGAGGGAGGAGGGAGGAGAGGACGGAGGATGACGGAGGACGGAGGAGGGAGGGGGGGAGGAGGAGGAGAGAGGAGAGGAGGAGGAGGAGGAGAGACCCTCCCTCCCTCCCTCCCTCCCTCTTCCCTCCTCCCTCCTCCCTCCCTCCTCCTCCTTCCTCCTCCCTCCTCGTCCTGCTCGTCCCTCCTCCTCTTCCTCCTGTTCCTCCTTCTCCTCCTCCTCCTCCTCCTCCTCCTCCGTCCCCCGTCCTCCGTCCTGCGTCCTCCGTCCTGCGTCCTCCGTCCTCCATCCTCCGTCCTCCGTCCTCCATCCTCCGTCCTCCGTCCTCCTCCTCCCTCCCTCCTCCCTCCCTCTCTCCCTCCTCCCTCCTCCCTCCCTGCTCCCTTCCTCCCTCCTCCCTCCTCCCTCCTCCCTCCTCCTCCTCCTCCTCCTCCTCCTCCTCCTCCTCCTCCTCCTCCTCCTTCTCCTCCTCCTCCTCGTCCTCGGTCGGCCGAAGCGTGTCAGCGCTGCCAAATGGCAGCCGAGGGGGCCTGTCGAGGGCCGCCACCGACGCCGACGCCGACGGCGACGGTGACGGTGACTTACCGCCGACGGCTGAGACGGCGGCGGTAGGTCGCAGTCGCGGCGACCGTGACGCCGCGCCGACGACCGCCGAAGGCTGAGACGGCGGAGACGCCGAAAGGCGGCGGCGGTCGTCGGCGCTGCCCTTCAGGGCAGCGCCGACGACCGAAGGGCAGCACATTGTTTGTGGCCCTCGCAATGGATTTCGCCGGTCACAATACGCTAACGTGACCAGGAAAATCCCTCGGAGGGGCACGCAGAAAGAGGCCTCCAAAAAGCCTCCCAGAGGCGGCCTGGGCGGATAACGCCTCGATAACATCTCGATGACATCTCGATAACACTCGATAGCAATGCTATCGAGATGTTATCGAGGTGCTATCGAGTGTGATCGAGCTTGGTAACACTCGGTAACACTTCGATAACACCTCGATCGCATTTCGATACCATGGTATCGAGATGCTATCGAGGTGTTATCGAGTGTTATCGAGTCCAGTAACACTCGATAGGACCTCGATGACACGTCGATAACATTTCGGTAACATTGTTATCGAGGTGTTATCGAGATGTTACCGATCGAGCGTTGGCCAGCGGAAAAGGAGTGGCGGAGGACTCAAACATTCGACGTCGTGAGGAACTCGCGACGTCGGTTCCCAGAGGCCTGGAGAACTTCCCCGGACCGATATATCGTCCCGAGTCGTGTTTTGACGCTCCCGAGGCCCACTGAGCCCCGAGAAGCCGACAGTAACCAAAAGCATCCAAAAACCTTCGTCGCGAGATTCTCACGACGTCGCACGTCCGGGTGCGACGTCTTGAAAGGATCCGGAATCGTTCGTCGCTTTCGTC